AGTCATGCCCATCGATAAATTGTCGACCACCAGATTCATGTCGTGCGCGATGAGCGGTAGGTTGATGGTTTGTGGAGCACACACGAAGCATAGCATCGTGAGGGACGGTACCAGGACGTGGTAACTCGAAGATCGGTTCCATTTCCTCTCTTCCGGCCAGATGCCCACGTACTTCAGTATGTAACGATTCAAACCGATATGGTAGTTCAAATCTATTGCAAATATATGTTTTAAAAAATGATTACGGTCCGGAAAAATTAAGCATTTCCTCTTTTCTCTGTCGTGTTATTTAAAAATATGGACTTTGGTTTCCATGTTGTTTGAAATATAATGTATCTGTGTTACTTACCATTTCTTACTTTATTTTAAATTTTTATCATAGATAACTATTTAAAAGTAATTCTAGATCGTAAAGTAGGATACACGTTATATGTTTTTTTTTGTGCTGATATGTTTCGTCGTTAAAAAATATATATACATGTGTATTATTGTTGTGAAATATTTAAATTTAATAGTGTTTTGAATAGTTGTTCAACCCGATCATTGGACATTGAGAGTCACGAAAATTTAGATTCTTCAGTGCTGAATTTCGTAATTTTCAAATTTATTTAATTCTAATTATTAATCGTTGTCAAAAGAAATATCCTAGATCAGAATAAATGTCAATATAAATATCCTATGTTTTGGACAAGAAAAAGTGATATGCATTTTTTAAGAGTTAATAATCAAAATTGTTATCACGTGAGTTTTGTAGAGTTGGAATAGGAAACTGAACACGAAGGAATAAAGAAAATTGTAGAAACATGTAAAACTTCCTCGCTGTTCAACTTATTTTTTTACCTACATGTAATATACAAATATTAATAATCGTAATATGATATTTGTGGGATTGCCAAATTTCTCATTTTTTAATTTTTCATTTCTTCTTTTCATTTCACTTTGTGTTTCTGTGCTTCACTTGTTTCTTTATTTTTAATAATTGAGATGATGAAACAAAAGTTTTCGAAAATACCGCTGATAAATGTTTGGAATATTTATTAGTTAATACGTAAAGTTACCTCGTTGCATGTTCATGAT